ACAAGCTGAGTACAATTCCCTTAAAGAAGAACTTGACATGTTAAAGACACAGATGGCAACAACAATGCAGCATATTGGTGCTCCACTACCCCCTAATTTGACATCAAATCAGGTAAATGTTGGGTCATAAGTTCGAATGACAATTTTTGTCTGTTCTTCCCTATTTCTGCCATTATGTTATTGGTGTGATACAGGTCCATTGCTTGTTTGAACTAAATAGGAAAATGATATCCATTTGTTTCTTGTAATGCATTGGGCTGTGATATATTATTTCACGTCACTATGATTTGTCCTACTTACTTCAGCACTGTGTTTTCTTTTTTTTCTTTGCTTGTTTGCCATTTTACACTATTCTCTCTTTATTACCATTTTACACTGATGGATAAGAAATTATTAGCTTATAGGTAGTTTTTAACTATACATTGGTTGTTTATCAGATGGAAATGCATATTAATTTTTGACTGCTTCATTTACTGGTAATCATTTATAACAATAGTTAAAAATTAATGATTCATTTTAATATTCACTCAAGAAAATTTTCATTAATAAGAATTACGTTGCAATGAGAGAACTAACAAGTTATAAGATAAATATTAGTAAGTTAGTGTATTTCTTGTTTTGTTGTATTGGTTTTGGATGTTGCCTCTGTAATAAAGCATGTTTGGGGTATATCTTTGTTGCCTTTAATTTATACTTTGGTTAATGCTGATATTTTTTGTTTTATTATATGGTTGTTAACTTCTTATTTAACCCCACAATTTTTCCATTGAACATTCCCATGTTAAGTTCATGATGATAACCTTCTATCGAATATGCTTTACCCCTGTATGTTGTTTGAATGGAGAAAACCCTCTGCTAGTCCTACCCTTTCTCTCGCATTCACCCCTGTATGTTGTTTCCCTTTTTCCACTATGCAATATGCTTATTTTGTATGTTGCTGAAAATTTGCAATTCTTTTTTTACACAAGCCAATTTGGTAAGTTTTTCTTCTATCAATCTGCAATATGGGAAATTTAAGGTTGTTTAAGTGGTCAACTTAGTGTTGTGTCTCATCACTGCTATTGTATTTTTAAAAGACTATATATGATTGCATTCACTTTATTGTTCTATAATAACAATGTATGCTCTTGCTATCATCAGGTTGGAGATTTGGGTTTCGCAGGACATAGAAGATCATCTCATGCTAGCCATACTCCACGTGTTGAAGTACCAGATTCATCACCTTTGGTTCAACCTCCACCACCTCAGCCTTGAAGATTATTTTGGATTTTGTCATTGACTTAGGAGGTTGTTTTATGTTGGCACAATTATGGATTTGTTTTAAGGATTGAGACATGGTAATGATTGTTTTGTACTTTTAATTAACTATTAAATAGTGCGTGGATATAACAAATTATTTTGTTCTGTGGTAAAATTCTTTGTCTTTTTCCTTTTTTTTAATTCTTATTTTTTATTTCATTACATTTTATTATATATATATATATATATATATATATATATATATATATATATGTCTGTGTGTGTGTACAATAATTAATATGTCTAATAAAATGTATAATATTTATTCTGATTTATTAATAATTTATTTTTGTAATAATCTTCTATTCAAAATTGTATATTAACAAAAGATGCTTATAAATGGAACAATTTAAATATTACAATATGAATAGAAACAAAATTCAAATAAATGTATAGAAAGTAGGTTTAAAAAAAATAATAAAATTTACTCAAAATTAAATTAAAATAAATATATTTTAAAAATAATATTTAATTCTGTCAGACTAGAAACTGCCTGAGAATATCATTTTAAGGCGGTTTAATTAAATAAAATTACAAGGGCCTATATAGAACACTAACCGCCTTCGTATAGAAATTGGATGCGGTGGTAATAACTGATAACTCTCCAAAAGAGAGTTATCCTAGGCTTAAATGTGATGTTTTGGGTACTATGATTGCATGTTATTCTCTTGATTTTATATGATTAATGCATGAATTCTGTGATTTCATGGTTTAATGGAGAATTATGTTAATTATGAGAGTTTGGGCATAAATTGGGGTTTTAGAAACATTTAAATGCACTTGTTATTTTACTGCAGGTCGATGCTGTAGCATCAGGAAGCAGTGCTGTAGAAATGGAGATGAGGTCAGCAGTACATACTGTTGACATCAGCACTAGCAAACCATGGATCCAAGCCCAATTTGGTTGATGAAGCTTCTGAACGCGTACGAAAAGATCTGATTGGAAGACGCGCTCAACATCATCAAGAAATCACAAGATTATCTTCATCAAATCAATGATTACAGATCGGATTAAAATCTAAATTGTAAATATGGAAAGAATCCTGTGAGATATGATATAGCACATGCTGTCACCTTGACAGCAAAATAGAGTGCCAATCTCAATCAATCACAAGGCAGCTTTGAGTGATGATTTGCATGGACTGGAAGAGATGATTGAAGCCCAGAATGTCAGAGCTATAAAGGAACGAACTCTACACAAAGAACGTACGGCTGATATGTTTTGAGACACCCAATTGGAGGCAGATTTAGAGAGAGAAAGTGGAGGAAACACTTGGGAGGAATTTGAGGGTTCGTTGGGAGAAATCTCGCGGATCAAAGGAGGAAGCTGGAGTTCAATTGAGAGATCATTGAACCCAGCAACTTGCTGCACTATTCCGGCGGCTGAGGCAAGGTTGATGGTGGTGGAGCTCACGGTTGCTGCGATAGCAGTGCTACAGCATCGTCCCTGTTTTCTTTACTTTAGATCTATGGAGTCTTATTCTTCCCTTGTTGTTTCTGTTCACCATATTATGGGCTAATTTATTAGGATTGGGTGATAGAGTACCCTTATTGTGATGTAAACAGTATTGCCTAAACTTTGCTACATGATTTTCCTTTCGGTTGATTAATAAAGTGTTATATTTTCTTTAATCTTGTTGATTCATCGAGAGAGGGTTGCAAGATAATTAGGATGTATGTTATAGAGATCTAGATATTTCCTGAATGTTATTAAGCATTGTGGTTTAATTAAGTAATATTAGTTAATTGTGAGTAGATAAATCACTTGCACCACAAAACCAATTGGAACTTGAGCTTAATGGACTCATAACTTTGTTGGCCATAGAAATGTGGGACTTAGTATAAATGTATTGTTGGTGAGAGCCCTTGCATGCATTGGTGTTCTGGTTACTGTTTGGATAATTGTTGTAGCATGGTTACTCCATTCTGTTTATATTGCAATAATGGGGAAATTGATCCTAATCTGTCTTGATACATTTGAACACTTCTTTTGATACTGAATTCTTGTTTAGTTAATCAGTAGCCTTAGTTTACTTTGCTTTACTTTTAAGTGTTAATTTAGTCTTTAGTTCTTCAACAAATCATCTTTGTTACCTTGATTGCTTCACGAAAGCTATAGCATTATATAATCTCTGTGGGAACAATATCTGGACTCACACATCCACTCTATTACTTGTTGATATGTGCACTTGCGTTTTTGTGTGATTTAATTGATTACGAAATTGCACAACAATAACCGCCTCATATAATGAATACAGGCAATTCCTCCAACCGCGTGCAAATTACTTTTGGAGGCTGTATTCAAAAGTGCCCCTGAAAATCATTTTTCGGCAAATAAGAAAACCACCTCAGTATACCGTTTGAAGGTGGTTCAAAAATCTGCCTCGAGAACCACCTATGTATATCATTTTAAGGCGGATAATGTATCCGCCTCAATAACCGCCTCTGAATGGTATATGCAGGCAGATATTCCAGCGATTCATCTCAACCGCTTTAGATTGCCTCTCGGCGGAGTTAACGGAGTCGGTTTGGGAACTGCCTCATGAGTTTACTGGAAGCGATTTAAACCGCCTCTGAATGGAAAAAAAAAAAACGGCCCTGATTGCTCGTTTTCTTGTAGTGTGTGTCAATTAATGAAATTTATTTGTGTTTTTATCCCAACATTAGCCATCTCATTTTGTTGCGATTCTAGACCTTAAAGGTAACGTTGGTTATGAGATTAACAAATAAAGAGTGCAATATGATCTTACCAAAAAAAAAAAAAGAGTCCAATATGAAATATATGGTTTACAACGGAGGTGAGTCTACAACTCTAGATATAGTGTTGGGACTGTGCAATGCAATTAATAAGCAGCTACAGGAATGAACAAAATAACAGCCTAGATGTAGATGACAAAACTTTTTCCACAAGGCCAGGGCCAGAGAGACAATTGCGTGGACGCAACATGTTTTAGCTGCAACTCCCACTTATTTTTTTCTCGCCCGGTTTCTTCTTCATTCTTCATTCCATCCACCCTCACTCCGTGTTTGCGCACGCTCTCATTCCCTCCCATGCAAAGCATGCCTATTTTAGTATTCTAATAAATTAATTCGATTCGCTTGCCTTCTTCATCTTCTCTTTCCATTTTATTGGATCAGATCATGATCCCTACATTTTTTTATTCTTTACCAAAATTGAAATAAACCTCAACTTGTTAGAGTGCATCCTGTCCAGGTTCCAACCGAGTCAGCATCCATCCCCACCCAGTCCGGAACCAACTCTAGAAACCTCCCTCTCTCTCTCTCTCTCTCTCTCTCTCTCTCTCAACAACAATTCTATTCATTATTCACACGATCGCACGGTTGACATTTGCAATCGACCTAGTCTTCATTCCTCATCCAAACACGTGTACAATACTCCTCGTGAAACACCATTCTTCAATTTCAATTTATCGCTCCTTTTGGCATCCGAATATTCCCTTCCTCCCCCTACTAAGTACTAACCGCAAAACAACAAGGCAAAAGGAATCAAACCCACCTTCTCGTTCTAAATTCAATATCTCACCGACGAAATCGGATCTAAATTCTCGCGTCTTTATCATAAACTTTATCTTAACTAGTTATTCGCCTTTTTAATTTTTTTTTTTTAAATTAAATTAATTTGCTAGCGATGGGTGTCCTCCATTGTTATGGGACACCTATAAATTAAGTTCCCAATACCTTCTTTTACTCCAATCCATTAAACGACACCAATTATAATCACTTCCATTTTCTAGAGTTTTCTCTTTCTCTCTCTCTATTCAATTCCTCGAACCTCATCCATGGCGTTAAAGAAAACCCTAGCCCAGCGCCTCCTCAGCATCACCAAAATCTCATCGCAGTCCTTCTCCAAATGTCGCATTTCCTCTTCTTCTTCTTCCGTTCAGAATCGGATCCCTCGCACCGCATCGAAGCCTGATATTGCTCCAGATCCCGGAGACAATGGCGTATTCCGCAGGTTCCTCCACAAGAGGGCCGTCTTCCGACCGGAGCTGCGGTCTCCTCCGCCGGCCGCCGATAACCTCCTCCAGAAGCTCAGAGAGATGGACATTTTTAAGAGCCGGATTCGATTGGACGGGTTGAGTCCACCGGCGACGTATCAGGGAGTGACGGTTGAAGATGCGCGGAAGTTGCTGAGAGCTGCGCAGCTTGAGATGGTGAAATCGAAGCTGCGAATGATTCCACAGAACTGCATTAGCTATTCGGAGTTCATTCGAATTTGTGCTGAGAATTGCTCCGATCAAGATCAAGCAACGAGGATTGCGAAGATGCTGGACGATTCAGCAGATGTAATTATTTTGGGAGACGTCGTGTTTCTCAGACCTGAACAGGTAAATTCGTTTTCCTCTTTGCTATTTATTTTTTGTTTAAATTTCATTAACTAGTTTATTTATTATTTTTATCTATTTTGCTTTGTTTGTTTTTGTTGTGTTGGGTTGTGTTTTAATTTGTGAGTTCATACAGAGTGGATCATGGTGTGGAGGTTAAGATCCAAGATAGGTTTTTAACTTTCTATCGATCAGCGCATATTTTTTTAATTTTTTAACCATTTGTTCTGGAGACTACCGAAAACTGATAAGGTTTTGTGATGATTTTTTTTGTCTTTTTTTTTTTTCGACAGGAAATTGAAAGTTTGTTGTTTCCTCAGATCTAAAATGTGTAAAGATTCAACACGTTTGAGATGGTAAATTAGGGGCTTTTCACGGACCCGCTAAAAGCCCCTACTTCTTTTACACACACTTACTTTGGGGGTTCATAAATGGGGAACCTTTTTAAATTATTTTTTTTGCTTTGATGAAGATAGAGATTAGTCCAGTTTATTAATTGGGATCTCCTTGGAGAAAAAAGAAAATCACATAAGAACCTTTTTATCATAAATGCTCAAACCTGTGGATATGTGTAAGATTGTGTGATTTAAATATTTATTTTAAAAAATTCTATACATATCCACTGCAAATAATTTGAGTGTTTATTATATTATGCTTACCTAATCTGCTTATTTTATTTTATTTTATTTTTTATACAAAAACAGAAGGTTCAAAATTTGTGGGGAGGGCAGGTAGGCTAAAATTCAGTCAGAACAATCATTTAATTTCTTGGTTAAGGTATTTTTTTTACGGAGAAGGATTGATTTACAAATTTTTTTTACAAATTACACTGTATTCTCCGGCGAGAACATAGTGTAACTAATGTTCTCTCGGAACAACATAGTGTAGTTTGTAAGAGTTTGTAAACAAGAAAGTTTGTAAATATAATTTGTCCCTTTTTTTCATACGGACTTGAAGTAGTTTCTTGATTATTTTCTTTTTTTAAAATAATAATAAAATTTGTTTGTTAACATGTATAATATGCTAATGAATATAAAATAATAATTGTTAAATAAAAATTATATGTATTTAATTTGTTAAAGTTTAAAAATTATTTAATGCATTTTTGAATTTTATGAAAATTATATGTAATATAATATTTGCTTGTTAACAGAACATAATATTTATTAGTGGGTTTTATGATAAATATTTATGTTTATTAAATATAATTAATAATTAATAAATGGTTTAACAACTTATTTTGAGTATCTATATGCATAAAAAAATGAATACTGTAGTGGTTTCCTTTTATACCCCTGGAGTCTATAGTTCCATGATGTGCTTTGTTACACTAATATTAATATTTAAAAATGTTGTTAAAAAGATTTGATTTGATGGTAATTTGTAAATTTTTCAATTAAAAACGTGTTTGATTACTAATATAAAAACTAAATACTACTGAAGATTAAATTAAAATTAGATTTTATATAGCAAACGATGTTTACATTAGGATTAAAATTATATAGATCATGCTATTAAGTATTAGCTGTGTGTTTGTACAGTGATAGTGACATGTCTGGTGTCTTTTTCCTCCCTTAATTTTTGGAGGGAGGAGGATATGGAGGAAGAAGACCTTATTTCGCGGCGCAAGTGGCACGGCAGCGGTACTTAGCTGTTAGATATTTGGGTTGTCGACAGATGGATACAGATCAACATACATTATCGGTGAAATAGGATAACATAAAAATATCACTTTAAAATAGGATAACGTAAAAATAACAATATTTTTAAAAATAATATTAGATATTTATAAAGGTATTTGAATATTGGTTAAGGAATACGTAATACAATCATTAGTATTTTTAATTACTTAGAGAAAGAAAGTTATATATATTTTTAAACTTTTATACATATTAAGTACTTTACTTTTATTTATTTATTTTTACAATTTTTTTAACTACTGTTTTAAGGATACTTGTTAACAACTTTCTTTTGCTATGCCAAAAAAATCCCATTTTTGAACATCATAGTATTATATTAAAATTTATAACAAATGTATATAACTTAGTGGTTATATATTTGTTATTTTTATGTTCTCAAAGTTTTGTCCTTGTAGCAATAGGAAAAATTATTATTACAGGTTAGCATGTGACTATTATTATTTTTTGGGTGACAAATAGTATAGAATATAGTACTTCAATTCTTTGTTTTTGGGTCTTTGTGAGACACTGCATAGAATATGGCTAGGTCCACTCCCAGGGACCGTTTCGGGTCAGAGCCTATTTCTCCTAATACATTTCTCTCCGTGAAATTCATGTCCATAAAATTTCTGTGCTTCATGAAATTGGGAAACTTTGGTTTTTTTGCTACTTTATTTTGATCCTATTCATGGTTACTTGTGATTTTATTCTAGTCAGTTCATTGTCTTATCCTAGCCAAGTTTTGGAACTTTTACAGCCGGGTATATTTTTTTCCTCCAATTTTTTATTTTGGGTACAAGTACAATTGCAAAGTTTGAGTCATTTCTAGAGGAAAAAACAAAGTGTAGATGGAGCCAAGTTTTACCCAAACTCTATCAAATTTATGATACAGGTAGCAAAAACCATCCAGGCTCTTCTCCCTTTACCCGGAGCCAAGGCGAATGACTCAGTAAGAAAAGAACTTGAAGAAATGGAGAAAGAGAAGGCAGCCATTGACAGCAAAGCTGACACCATGGTTCGCCGTGAGCTCTGGGGAGGGTTGGGTTTCCTGGTGGTGCAAACGGCAGCACTCATGAGGCTCACTTTTTGGGAGCTATCCTGGGATGTAATGGAACCTATATGCTTCTATCTGACCTCTATGTACTTCATGGCTGGCTACATGTTCTTCCTCAGGACCTCAAAAGAACCCTCCTTTGAAAGTTTCTACCAAAGCCGTTTCAGCACCAAGGCGAAGCGCTTAATGAAACTTCACAATTTTGACATTGCAAGGTATAATGAACTCAGGGCTGCTTCACCACTGTTACCCTCTCCTGAGTTGGATTCATCCATTGGATTACACAAAAATATTTGAGTTTTAGGGTCGTCGGTATTATTCATATTCACTAGAATAGTGATTATACAGAATATAACTGCACAAATAGCATCCCTTCTACCATTTTGTGGGAACCATCGTTACCCTTTTCTCTGATATCATTCATCACCAAAAATCATAGAAAAAAGAAAAGAAACGAAAATCATACTATATGATTAAGGCGAGTTAGAATTAGGCGCGGCTTTTTGTACGATGGATACAGAGTGATCTTTTTATTTTATTTATTTTTCTCTGTCTCCTTTCCTCTTTTGTTGTACAACATAGCATTACATAACCTTTTGAATAAAATCAAACATCTATTTTAATGTCTAAAGAAAAAGAACGTTAAATATTAATGTCAAATTTTTAAAAAACGAAAGTCAAATCACGTCTGGCTCACTAAAATTATTACAGTAGTCATGTCGCATTATTGAATTAGTGTGACAGGCAATCAAAACCGGACAATAACTGTAGCTCACCATCTTTGACGAAAAACCAAAGTCAAATTCAACTGTGTGGTGGTTCAGTTGGTAGCATAGGGAGAGTGAGTGGTGGGAGAGGACTTTGGTTCGAATTCTACCAATATTATTTTGGGAGGAGCATAAGTACCGTAATCTTTAGATTCGCACCCGAACTCTGGATTAGTTCCATAGGCGGCTCAAAGAGTCGAACCCGTGAGAATACCAGAGATTCTGATTCGCCTCAAAAAAGTAATTATGATATTTTTTTTTTAAAAAAAACCAAAGTTAATTTTTTTTTTTGGTAAAACAAAGTCAAATTTTAATATCACCTTCAAGCCAATCTATCAAACAGGGGCAAAGTTAGATCAAGTGACGGTAGAGAAATTCCTCGACAGACTAGATTAAAGGCAGACGCATCCTTATTTAAAAGTGCTCATTAAGCGCATAGTTTGAAAGGTATTTAATAACCTCAATTAAATGCACATTTAATAGCCTTAATTAAGTCTTTTTATTACTTGAAGAATAAAATAATGCATTATCAACAACTCTTGGTTCAAGTGATAATGAACTTATTTCTCTTAATCAAAAGTCTCAAGTTAGAGCCTATAACGATTCCAACAATATTCAAACCAAACAATATTCAAGTCTATAATGGTAATTGATGAATCGATTGATGATATATCAAAAAAATAAATAAAAGATTACTTCTTTAAAAATTTCAATATATTAAATAATTTTCATTTAATAATTTTTTGTTTTATTCATTAATAGTGTTGATTATAAATGAAAGTGAGTTTATTTGATTAAATTATCTTGAATTCAAATATTGTTATAACCCTAGTAGTCTTCTCCCTCACTTATTACCATTAAATGTAAAGTTAGAAAAAATAATAAGTAATACTTTATTTATTTTCTATAAAAACAAATAAAAAGGAACAAAAGCAATTTTCTAAAGAGATTAATTAAAAAAAAAAAAAACAAAGGGAGTACTTATGTAATAGGAAAATTCATGCAAAAATTGTATTTATTTGATGAAATAGTATGAAGTCTCAATTTTTTATCATGTTAGTCTATCCATATTATATAAATAAATTAACCTCGTATTTGAATAATAGGTGGAACTGTTAAAATTAGGTAAGTCTCGTTAGTCAACCCAATTCAACCCACACAAAATGGACAGTTGGGATGGAAAAAAAAAAAACTAAAATATCAAGCTAATATGACTTGGCTTGTGAAATTTGTGGCTTATTCGGATTCGAGTTTGTGAAATTTGTGACTTATTCGGATTCGAGCATGGTCTCCCCATGTTTTTTGCAATTCCCAAGCCAATCCAGCACCCAAGTGACCTAGTCTCTACACCAACTCCAGTTTCAATTTGCAAATTTTTTTTTTTTTTAGTATTCCAAAAGGGCAAAGCCCAAAAAAGAAAACTACAAATTGCCACAGTCAGAGTCCAGAAACGGACTCAGCTCCAAAGGGGCATCTAACAGCAAAAAAAAATCATCCTCTGCAGCAGAAGCTAAATTAGCAAGACGGTCAGCACAAACGTTACTGTCTCTACGGACATGATCAAATTTGACAATCCACTCCTTGTTACTCCAGCTTCTGATGCTATTCACAAGCTGATGGTTACTACAGATAGTAGACATGCAATTGATGGCTTGGATAGCTAAAAGGCAGTCACTTTCCACTAGCAGCTGTGTCACATTAAGGTCCCAAGCAACTCTGATCCCCTTATAGATCGCCCAGAGTTCAGCTATATAAGGAGAGCAGATACCTATCTTATATAAAAACCCAGCAATCCATGTCCTATTGTGGTCCCTAAAAGCTCCTCCACAGGCAGCGTACGAAGTCCCTGGCTGCACAGCGGCGTCAACGTTGAGTTTTACCCACCCTTGGGGAGGGACCGACCAAGGGACACGCACCATAGGCTGAGGGTTAACCTGCCCAACGATGCAGTCTCCAACCGATGAGCTGATGTCCGAAATGCATTTGGAAATTAACAGCAAAGGCTGGTTCGGTCTGAAGAACTGAGGATCATGCACCTCATTGTTGCGCCATTTCCAAAGATACCAGATAGTTGTGACAAAGATGTCCTTCCAACATAGCAACTGGAAATGTGGCCAACCTTGGGACAGATTCCTTTGAAGCCAGACATTAAGAGGAAGGTTGAAGAAGTCCGAAGGGGGGTTACCAAGAAACCAAGCCTTCCAGATAGATTTTGCACAGCTGCAATCCCTGAGAACATGCAATATGTTCTCCACCTTGTATGGGAAAAGGTGACAAGAGGGGGAGCCACTCCATTTGGCAGTGAAATCATTCGATAGGAGACGACCGTGATACACCATCCACAAAAAGGTGCGCATTCTTTGGGGCCCTCTCCACTTCCAGATGGTTTTCCAAAGAGGATCAGGGATCAAGTCTTCAAAGTCCATGAGGTTATTGTAAGCTGTTTTGACCATATTTTTGTTATTAACTGAAAGATTCCACATAAGGTTGTCCTCTCCTCTCCTCCATCAAGAGAGGGAGGAAGAACAGATCGGATGGACTGGACAACCTCTATGGGGATTTTCGAGCACAGACTCCCAATCTTCCAATGGCCTGAGTTGCTGTCAACAACCTTTTAGTTCAACTCTCCACTATTCGGGTCAGATATAGCATATTCAATCAGTGGTCGATCCAAATGGGTCCACCTATCCAGCCAGAAGGAAATTTCCTTACCGTTTCCAACACTCCAATGGAGGGATTCCAGAAAACCATCCCAGATCTTTCCAATGCTTTTCCAAATATTAGAGTCATAGTGTTGGGTCTTGATGTGTCTCCGTAAGTCTTGATTTCTCTCATATTTGCCAATTATAACTTTCACCCATACAGCCTCTTTGTTGTTGATGATTCTCCAAGCAAGTTTATGAAGAAAGGCTTCATTGTGAATCTGGAGATTGTGAATTCCCATCCCACCCAATACCTTGGGTTTACAAAGACCGTCCCAAGCAATAAGATGAACTCGCTTCCTTCCAACCGTATCCCCCCAGATAAAGGAACGTTGAATCTGTTCTATATCATTGCAAATCGACAGGGGAAGTTGGTTGTGCTGCATATGATAAATTGAAATTGTACTAATGGCAAAATTGGCAAGGGTCACCCGACCAACAAAGGAGAGCAGGTGACTTTTCCAATTGGCCAACCTGGATTTGACCCTATTGAGAACTCCAGAGTAGTTCCGCCTTTTTCCACGCCCATGCCAAAGCATGGATCCCAGATACTTCCCCAGAGAGTTGGCCATCTTAAAACCACTAGCTTGCGAGATTGTTTCCTTGTCTTAATCACTAGTGTTCTTGGAGAAGTAAATAATGGTTTTTTCAATACTGACCACTTGACCAGACATGTCACAGAAATCCTTTAGGCAGCTCATCATTACTTGGAGTTGTTCAAGATTCGCTTCTCCAAACAAAACCAAATCATCTGCAAACATAAGATGAGATATAGCAGTACCTTTTTTTCCCAGCCTTCATGGTCTTCCACAACCCTCTTCTGACCGCATCAGCAATTAAATGAGAGAGTTTATCCATACAGAGAACAAATAAATATGGGGAAATAGGGTCCCCTTGCCTAATTCCCCTAGAGGGGGAGAATTGGTCAGATGGGCTGCCATTCTACAAAACCTGGAATCTGGAAGAAGAGATACATGCTTCAATCAAATTGGCCATTTGGGGCGGGATGCCCGCTTCATTGAGGACTTTGAAGATATATCCCCAATTCCACCGATCATATGCTTTAGCAAGGTCAATCTTGATTGACATGTAGGCTTTCTTTCCCGTCTTCCTATTCATGGAATGGGTCATCTCTTGAGCAATAATGACATTGTCATGGATGATTCTTCCAGTAACAAAACTTGTCTGAAAAGGGGAGATAAGCTTATTCATAAGAGGCTTCAACCAATTGACAATAATCTTGGTAATAGCCTTGTAGAGGACGTTGCAAAGGGCAATTGGCCTAAGCTGGTCAACTTTCTCGGGTTTCTCCACTTTAGGACATAGGACCAAAAGAGTGTCATTAATTCTATGAATTTCT